CTATACTGTACAAATATACTTGCCCACCTTCTGTATGGAATTTGCATGTTCTCCCTATGTCCACGTGGAAATTCTCCAGATGCTCAGGTATCCTTCCATACAGTTTACTAAACACATATTGTCTTTGAGTAAATGTATTTGAATTATCCCTTCATGATTCCATGTATGTTTAAATGTCATGCTATTGACTGGTGTCCTCTCCAGGCTGCACTGACTTTTGTCCTGTGTTTCTGGGTTATCATGTCCTTTGGCAGTAATAAGCCAATAATGGATGGATTGTATTTTACTGCCATGGTGACCTTTACATTTCAGTGAATCATGAGGACGTATCACCTGCCTCTGTTTTAATTATGTATTTTACTGAGGTAAGTAACTGGATGTCTCATTCTTTCAGTTAATTTAAGTAAAACAGAAATCATGCTGTTATATTCTCTGTAATAAATGAGGCTGATTATATCCTTGAACATTTTTGGGCCAAATTAGTTTAAATATCAAATCCAGGGGCAGAAGTCTGGAATTTATGACTGGCTTGGAATCATGCTGTGATGCTCATATTGAAAATGAGTCTCATGTTAATATGTAGAGAGGAGAACACAATCTACTTATGAATGAAATGTACTGTTCAGAGCTGGAATTACAAATGAAATACATAATTATAACTTTTAGACATCTACATGGTGTAGGATGAGAGCTTTAACTGGTTCTATAGTTCTTGCAAGATCCCAGTTCTGAAACACTCACAAATGTAATGCACATGATACCTGCTCCTTCAGCTCTCATTTGAAAACAAACTTCCTTGGCCATCCCCAGGAGTTTCCTTCAATAACCACTGTCAGCCACATGTAGTGCGGTGTGATATTACTGGTACAATTTATTAATTGTTACAGTAAATCGCATGAGCTTTTATTGGCTGTTAGGAATCAATTGAAGAAATAGTTATTCCTTCAATTGAATATCCTTCAATATTCCTTCAATTTTATATCTATGTAGATCGTTTCGAATATGATCATTTTTGTTGGTTTTTGTACACACTTATTGTGTGTACAAAAACCAACAAAAATGATCATATTCGAAACGATCTGCATAGATATAAAATAGATGAGTGTTTACTTGAGGGTTATCAAGATGCAAAAATTAAGCATTGATTATAACATTAGTTATGATTTCTTACTCTCAAATAACTATTCAACATATAACAGATACAGTACTCAAAGGTAAGTAAATGCTGTACATTTTTATTATATGAATTAAATCATATCAAAACATGTTTAGCATAAGTTTAGGATATTATTTGTTCACATGTTGTCTACGATTTGCCTTTTTCCTTTTTCTAATAAAGGCTTTCACCTAACTGCAGCTGAGTGACAAAGACTTCTGAAGCCTGAGCCTATCCCAATGCAGTGTGTTAGAAAGGCAGCGCATACAAAGTTGTGCCCAGACTTCAGAGACACAGTTTTGCATGGCACACCGTGGTTGAATTGCAGAGCGGCATGTTTTGAAGGACTGGAATTTTTTTTAGAATGGATAGGAAGCTGGTTTGGTGAGTAAAACCTTAGCTTTTGTCGCCCTGCCATGTGGAAATTGAAGGAGCTCCATCATCCACTGATCATCAACTGCATCTGCATCTGCTTCCATTGCATTTGAGGTCAAATCTCCAGAGGATCCAGGAGATCCATCGGTCTCAGACCATGAACCCCTCAGTTTCTCAAATGCAGCGTCATCATCTAACGTCGCCATCATCACCAATCAACGGTACACAATGTCATTTTTAGTAATAAAGTATACATTATAGGTAGGGCTTTACATTATTGTGTATGCAAAACACATTTATTAATAATTAAGCTTCTGTGATCAACCATGGTGCTTTGATGAGCCTTTTTATGTATATAAAACAGTGACTTTGCATTAGTCCCCTAGCCGAACTTGTTAAATTGTAGCTATTAATCTTTAATTGGATGTTAAAGGCTCACCTTTCTGACTTGGCTTTTGGATAGTATCTTTTGTTGGCACTTATTTTAGATTCACTCTGCATTTTGTCTGTCCTTGCATGGGTTTTTTTTCTCATTGCTGTTAAAGATAGTTTTCATTTTATCTTTTATCTCACTTATCTCAGAATAAAAATTTAATGAGTGATGCTACATAAATGTTTATATATTTTTTCTACATCTTGTCTTTGTCCTTCAATAAAACATGTTCGCGAAATGCATTTAGATTTCTTCCAGTTTTAGAGTTTCTGCCAGCTTTCATCCCTTTCAAGAAACATTGGTTTAAATAGGTATCACTCCATAAGAGGCTACGTGGAGCATTTAACTTAAAGCAGCCCATTCTTTTGGCCCCTTCAGTGATTCTGCGTGGTTTCAGTGTTAATTATTTTGTAAATCAGTATCACAAGCTTCAGTAACTTCTGTGTTGGTCTGTTGCACTATCCAGTTCTTAAGTACTAGAGATTCCATCATTTTCAATAGGAAGAGGAGTGACAACATGCAATTCTGTTTGCAAGAAACCTCTCACTGGCTTCTGTCAAAAGATATATATTGGTAATGCATTTTCTGCGTAAGCTATTTGTTTACAAAATGTGTATGTGGTTTTCCCATACTTATGAGCCAAATCTTAAATGCCATCACAACCTCTTGAATATTTGTTCATTGACTGAGGAGGCCATTACGAGATGGTGTGTTTTGCATCGCTTCACATCTCACATTCGAATACCTTTTAAACCTGGCTAGGGCCTAATTTTTACATTTTAGCAGTAATATTTTGACAAAGTTTTTCATATACTGTAGTTTAAAATATAGAAAATTAGCCAGAGATGATCTCCTGTATGTTATTTTTCAATTCTATGGGTTATGATCCCACAACAATGAAGGGTGATGCTCAACAAAAATACAGTATTTTTTCAGCACGGAAAGAGACTGTAATATGAATACTTCTATACTTATATTGAGTAAAATGTTGTATGCCCCAATTGCATACCCCATGTGGCATGTTGTTTTTTTTCATTTGTGTGGTAGCGTTTTACTGAGCTTGTCCAACCTATAGGACATAAGTCACTGAACAGAATGAACAGAAGAAAAAAACACGTAAAAACAGATTAATGAGAAACAGCATAAATCTGCCTTAGCATGTTGCCCTCATATTTGTTTCCTGGCTAAAACATAGTACAACTTGACTTTGTTCAGCAAAAACTTTTGTTCTTTGAGGGCCAAAATCCTCTTTTTGTGCGGACAACATGAATGGAAAAATGTATGGGGGAATTAGAATGTCTGCTAGGGATTTAATTGTAGGAAATGCTCTGATCCAACAAGAACAACTATTTTTCTGTTCTTTTGTTAACACATCTGGCAGGGCATCTGTTTAAAAACATGGGGGAGGGAGGGGTAATCTTTTTGGGGGTGAATCCTACATCCAAATGCTTTTTTTTTCGTAAAACACATTTTCTTTACTTTACCGTCAGTACATGAAAATATGTAATGCATCAATAGTTCAATGTCATTTGAAACAGATTTTAAAAAAATCAAATACCAATTTAATTCAATTTAATTTTGTATAGCCTGTGATATATCTTGAGACCACTGTTTACACATGGTATACATATGTATAAAATGTAAAACATAAATATGGTATCTCTGTTTAAAATGTTTTTTGTCTATTAGGCAAAACAGAAAGATGCAACTAGAGATTACAGTGTTAAAAGTGCAATTGTAATGAAAGTACTGAAGGAATCAACCAATTCATGCTGAGAAGCTAGTAAAATCACTTAAGCAAACAGTAAACACCATGGTGTAGAGATAGCATGCCTAGATCATGTCAGCTGACTCCTCTGTTCATTGACCTCCTTGATCCCAGAAATGGTCTTGTCTAATTCAAGATCCTCCAGTATTGATTTCCATCAACACTTTTATTTGAAGACATAATATCAATATGTCCAGGGAAATATTGTGTTTGGGACCTCCAAGCTCCAACCTGCTCGTGCCCTTTTCTTAAAAAAAATGTTTGAAAGCAATCTCCAGTGCTACCAAAAATCAAGAATAATATGAGATTTAAAAAGAAATATGACATTATGAACCCACCATAAACACTATCGCATTAACATTTACTGACTTAACTGAAACATCTGCACAAAAAATAAGAAGTATTAATTTTTAATTGATACTGAATCACCTTAATTCTTGTGCTATACTTTTTTCCTGTTTGTCTTTTATTGACAATAATATTATATCTGTTGTATGAGATTTACACATTTTACATTTCAGTGTTCTCCACATACTATGCTGGGATAATGTTTTTCTAGAAACATGTCCTTCTCAGAGTTAATAGGGATATTGTTGCAGTGAGGTGTACATTGTATTTTAACCATGCAAACATATAATTACATTTGTGTAGACCTTAATTATGCTGTTGGTTGAGAACTCATAATTGTAAAGCACAACAGTAAATTTAAAGTAAAACACGAGCTTGTTTTCATTAACATATATTTAAGAGCTGTTTCTTCCAACACAATGAAAATGGATTAATTTAATTAAGTTTCTCAATGTAGCTACTTTCTTTTGATGTTCTAAAAAAACGTCAGAGAACCAGTATACATATTTTTATTAGTTAATAGGTGCTGTTGCCATATTACTATCTACTAATTGAAAAACAAATGACAAAGTCATATTGAAACCTTTTAAAACAATTTTAGTGTGAAGCTCAAAATGCACCTTTTTGAATTTAATTACCACAGGTGAAATGTAAATAAAAAATAAATAAATTTTGAATTAGTTTTCTTTTAACTTTGTAAATATAGTAATGTAACAGGAAAATAAACATTCTGTGTGTGTATACAATATAGAGTCTTTCCTTTATCTGTTTCAATTTTTAAGCAAATATAAAAACATAACATTTTCACTAATTATAAACATTTTTTATGTTATACATATCTTGTGTAAAATGTGATATTAATTGGTGAAAGACTGTAGCTGTTACAAAGGGCTTGATTTTCAAAACGTTTTGTGTAGATGAAAACCAGCAGATTAGCCAGCGGTGCTCTATGTCTCTCTTTTACAAAATCCAATTGTGGAGATCTATTTTAAAAAGGCGTTAGTTCTATTTTATGTTTATTCTGACTTTAAAGAAAGCTTCTTGAAAAATTAACCACAGTTGTATTTTAGGTACCTTGTTTGCCCTCTGTCTTTGCTCTTGATAAACCTGGAGAAGGCAGCACAAAGCCCAGGATTCCATTCTTGGAAGAACTGTCAAAAAACACATGCAGCCAGTGATCTGTTTGATTGCAACTATATTTCAAAACCAAAAGAAAACATTTTCTTCATTCACATAATAAATACATTTATGCACCTGTAGCTCAAATGTCATTTTGAGAGCATATTTACATCATAAATAAATCTAGTCAAGAAACATTGTACAAGTTCAAAGAAACATAGGTAGCCCAACCAAAAAGTCTTTTTAAATACATTAGGAGAAATCAGAAAATGTACAAATTATATCTACATTTTAATATACTATAAGGCTACTGCTGACCTTACAAGGCAAGGCAAACTGCCAAATCTCCTGGATTAACCAACTACTAAGAAAAGAACTTCTTGAGTGAGGTCGTAAACTTGAGCAATAGATCACTTTTTTAGGTATGCTGAGACCAGCCTTCTCAAACTCATTTCTAATTTATTTTTCACTCCATGTGAAACATCTCACCTTCTCAACACAATACAAAATTCTTGTTCCATTATTTTTACTACGGAATTATGGCTCTGTGTCGACGTTCACATTATGAGCATCAAATCATTTTTGACTAATGGGAATTAGTTAAGAAAATACAGAATATCTTTCATGTTAGCTGTCCTGCTGAATTCACTCCTGCAATTTAAAGCTGTGCCACATTAAAATCCACCTTCAACCCAAATGAAAATGGTAGAATTATTCGACTCCCTTGCCTTAAGATAACATAGTAATACCTTTTTTTAATTTAGTCTGACTGATCAAACGTTTTCAAACTAAAATCATTCCATCCTTATCGTAAAAGATATATATCTCTGTTTGCCATACATCCTTCAGATCTTTAAAATCTATGCAAATGTAGTCAAAATGTGTGTGCCAATGCAGGGAGGCATAAGGTCACAATCCAGTTTATGATTAACTTGGCTGTTCCTTAAAAATTCACTAACGGATAACAAGACCTTCTAAAGAAACTCGTAACGCCTTGTAGTTCATTTAAATGTTTCTGCTTTAGATCATCACATAGCAATCCTTTAAGCCTTACAATTCTAGTGCATCTCAGGCAGACCAAACACTAACTCTAGTGAAATGAGTGCTTTAAATATTTGGGCAGCTCTCAGCACCACAACTTTTACAAATGTCAGCTTCCATTTGTGATTATGACAGATGTCCCTTTGTGTCCCTGCGCTGGATCCTGCTGCATTCGTAAATGCGAAGTCACGTCATAGTGGGAGCCATTGCAACCCAAAGAATAGTTTCGGAGGGTTTCGGCATCGTAAAGGTGCTCCAGTGCATAGCCAGTCAGGGAGTATGCATGCTTGTCAAAGTACTGACGGTGGTGGGAAGAATAATAGGAAGGGGAGGACGTGCAATGGTTTCCGTGAGTTTGGTGAGGAGAAAGGTCTGACTGCAAGTAATCCTTGGTTAAGGATAAACCGGATTTGGAAATTCTGTCCGAACTTGGGCTACTTATTCGTGACAGCGACGTGGGGCTGTTGTCCTGCTCATTGTCATGGGGACTTATCATCTTCCTGTCCCTGTGCTGAAGGTGGTCACACAGAGCAGAGCTGGTGACCGCAGGACCTCGGCACACTACCCCCTGTGGCTGAGTCTGTGGGAAGTCTGTGCCGAAACACGATGAGTGGGTCTTTGCCACGCCATTCAGTGGTGCCAGGTGATCCTGATTGGCCTTCCTAAGCTGCAATCGGCTCTCTTCCTCCTTAATCATCTGCTGTGTGGCCCTGATGAGTGTTTCTATCTTGCTGGGCTCGTGAGGGCTGCTCTGAAAGTGGTCACTGCGGTATCGATCTCCCGAGTCACTGGCTGATCCAGGGTCTGGAGAGCTGACAACACTGTCTTCATCCCAGTGGCCTCTCACTGCAGAAACATTGAAACACATCGAAAGGATCACATTTAGATTTGCCAAATAACAAAGTAAATCCTGTACATTTAGTTTGAAAATTAGTTAATTTTACTCAGAATTTTACTGTAATGCAGTTGAATTTAAAAGATACTGAATTTCTGATATTAATATACATGGTGGTGACAGTGTGGACATAAAGACAGGTTTCTGCTTGTTACATTTTTACTATATTACAGGCAGCTCATTTTCATTTACCTAACAGATAATTGTTGTCTTGAGGATGATTTTCTTTTTTAGTTTCACATACTGTAGCTAGAGTAGTTAATTGCTTTGCTACTACTTAAATTAAAATATATTAAAATACTGCTTAAAAGTCACAACATTACCAGGTCTGTCTAATTTCAAATAAAAATTGTAATATAGAGGCAAATATGTGTACAATAACCAACAGTAGTGACCTCAGAAGAAACAGATCATAATTGATTTTTATGAGGAGAAGGAAGGTCAAGATTTCCTTTCCAAAGATAGCTCTAATGAAAAAATGAAATATATAACGAACGTTCGGGAGAGATGACGACAGCCAAGTTCAATCAGTCTCAGCTGTCGGTAATTTGTAATCAATCATGATGTCATTTCCTCACCTAAAACATAAATACCATATGTTATCCTCTCCTCTCTTTTACATACGTCTATTGCATCCTTCCTTCTGCCCCTTGGTCACTCCTCACTCTGCATTGGGGTCCCAGCCTCCCTGACCTTTGGCCAGGAGGTTGGCCCTCAGACAAGCAGGTTGAGCCACATTTACTGTGACTAAAACACTCCATAAGCCTTTCAGTATGCTTAATTCCTGGGTGTTGCTATTCCTAGGGAACTAAGAATTTTTATCTATGAACTGAATTAATGTTTCAGAATCAAGCTTTTTTACATAATCACCTTCGTAAATGCAATTTATTTTGTAATAAATATACGATAGGAAAATCGAACTCACGTAAATATTCTTAGTAGCAAATTATACAATAAACAAACATCATGAAATATGTTAAATGACAAATTGTCATGTTTTATTTTCATCAAAGCTGAAAAGCCTAATTTTGAATCATAGAAGCGTGCAAATTATTTACCTATATGGATGTACCAAAAAACATCAGCTCTTAAAGCTTTAACTACACAGTTTTCTTAAGTGAAAATTTTAAAGATTATACAAAGACTGTGTCTCTTGCAATTTCTGACAGACTCAAAGCTATTTCTTAAACTAGGAGATTAGGAGTGAGAGTGGATTTAATTTAAGATAGGAAAATCTTACATTCAAATTATCCTTCTGCATATGGATTGTCTTGCTGATATTCTGCCCTTGGTTATACTCGAATCATCACTTCTTCTCATTAAATATTTTTAAGGTAACTAAAAAACTTGGAAAACATGTTAAAGTCTAATTAAAAAATATTGTTCTATGCAATATTTTTACCAACGGAGATGAGGTGATCCTATTGGACCTATTTTTACCATGAACTAAAAAATCACAAATTGAATATG